ATGATTACCTGTTTCCTTTAAAGGTTTTTCTATATCTTTGTATTGATAAAGTATAATGTTTGCTGGATATCTTAATCACTCCAAGAATTGTAATTATTTGAGAATCCTATAACTATTTTGATCAAATTTTCAGCCGAAAAGTCTAGAGTTTATTTTCTCAAATTAATTTTTTGCACAAAAGTCTGACAGATATGTAAAAAGCATAATTTTCTTTTCTTATAGATAAAAATCATGGGGGATCTGTAAAAAAGCATAATTTTCTTTTCTTATAGATAAAAATCATGGGGGAATAACAGTTTGTTGTGTATAATTGAATTTAATTTTTTCTGAAGTATATTGTTTAATATATTTGTAAAAAGTATCGATTGATTAGAATATAAAAACACGGATGAAAAATCTAATGAACCATATCTACAGATCTGACAGATCTATTCGTTATAAATTATGTGATTTGTATACAAGTCCGATTAGGTTATTTTTTGAAAAACAATTGTTACTCGAAGAGATGGTACGTGTATTAGAAGGTTTGTGTAATTACCATTCTCTTAGAACTCTAAACGGCGGAAAATCTGGAACTTGGCAGAGTCGGTTCATTCATGGCTGCGTAGACGGGATTGGGATCTGCTGTCTTGTACAAGCGGGAGAAGGGTGACAAGTGACAACGATATTGGCTTGACCGACGCTCGGTGAAGAGGTGCTGTTTAGGATTTGTCGATGGTTGGAGGGGTCATCCTATTGAGGGAAAGTTGTTTGGCTTCTCGATGGATTTGACAAGTTTTAAAATATGCAGCATCGTCATTTGCAAACAAAGCCTAATACAGAGCACTGTATTTGTTTCAAAAAAGAATACCGAGCACTGTACTCAAGAACCTTTTTTTTTAATTGGAAGTACTATATACGAACTTACGAAGTACTTTATTTACCTTTTTAAACAAAAATAATAATTTAATACAAGTATTATAATTAGAGGTGAACATATTATGTTCCCAAAATAGGGGAATACCTAACTAAATATGAATAGCGGTACATATAGGAGTATAGGACTCTGAACAATTCTACCTTATTTCGATTTAAGAGCGCGTTTGGTGACCTTATTTTAAGCTTATCAGCCAATTTTTCATCAAACATATAAGTTTCTAAATTTTTAATTATAAGAAAAATGAGGTTGGAGTTATTTTTTTTGCTGTATTGGTTGAGGTTATTGTGAATAATCATTTTAACATGAAATAGAATTAAAAAGTACTACCTCCGTTCTCTTTTAGTTGCAACATTGGACTTTTTGCACTATTCACATGTTCTACTTTGACTACATTTTATTAATTGATGTATAATAAATTAAATTTTTAAAAAATTTTGTTAAATTCTTCTCATTCTAAAATTTCAAAATATGAATTTTTTAAGTTTTTTACTAATAAGGAATGAAAAATATTAATGATCAAACTTGTGCGTTGACAAACGTGAAATGTTGACCGTTGCAATTAAAAAGGAACGGAGGAAGTATATGTATCTATTACTACGTATGATCTAAAAGCAAAAGGATTTCGGGGATTAGATTCTCGCTCAAAAACATCAACATCGAATGAGTCATTCATTTTTTTGTCAAAAAAATAGGGTAAAGAGATTAGGTCGGTCGAGTCGGCAAGTTTTGTGATCAAACCATTTCTATTGGTCCAAGAAGGAGGTGAGCACAGTAGAAATCACTTGCGTGCATTAAGATTGAGTCGCTTTTTGGCTAAATTTGTTTTTGTTGGTGGAATTGGTTGATGAACACACTGAATGAGATCGAGTGCATCTTGGGGCGTGTTTCTGCAAAATCCCGATTACGGTTCCCCCCCTCCCCCCAAAAAATACTACTTTAATACCATAATGTCTCGATGCTATTCAAGTTTACAAAAACAATTCTTTTAAAAAATGCAATTCATGTAAATAATAGTAAGTGTATTCGTTTGATGTTGTTTTCTATAAAGAAATGTTCCATAGCATTTAGCAACAAGTCTAATGTGATTTCAAACTATATTTATACTATGTGTATTCAGTAGTTAATTGAATTTAATATGTTGCATCAGATATCAAAATTCATCATTGTAGGGATTATAATTCTAAATTGTTCATTTTTATTCTAAATGATTCGTTTACAATTACAAATTTATTCTTTATTCCAAATTTGAGTAAACATGATTGAACAGGTGAAAAATTCACCAATCGAGCATTAAAAAACCAAGCAATATGTTTTTAAATATGTGAGATTTATCGGCTGTGAATCGTGTGGCGAATATATAATCTCGATTCCCCCCCCCCCCTGCACAAAAAAAAAACATTTCAATACCATAATGCCCCCGTGCTTTGCAAGTTTACAAAGGCAATTGGTTTTAAAGATGCAATTGTATAAATAATAGTGAGCGTATTAGTTCGAGGTTGTTGTCTATAAATTAAAGAAGTGTTTCATAACATTTAACAACAAGTCTAATGTGATTTCAAATTATATTTATACTACGTGTAATCAATGGTTAATCGAATTTAATATATTGCATGACATATCAAAATTCATTATTGTAGAGACTATAATTCTAAACTCTTCATTTTTTTTATTCTAAATGACTCATATAGAATTAAGAATTACATGTTTATTCCTTATTCCCAATTTGGCTAAAAATGATTGAAAATGTGAAAATTTCACCAACTGTGCATTCAAACATGTGAGATCTATCGGTTGTGAATCGTGTGACGAATATATAATCCCGATTACGGTCCTCCCCCCCCCCAAAAAAAAAAAAAAAAAAAACCACTTCAATACCATAACGCCCCCCCCCCCCCCCCCCCCCCCCCCGTGCTTTGCAATTTTACAAAGGCAATTCTTTTAAAAATGCAATTCGTATAAATAATAGTCAGCGAATTAGTTTGAGGATGTTGTCTATAAAGAAGTGTTTCATAACATTTAGCAACAAGTCCAATGTGTTTTCAAAGAGAAATTTATACTTTCGTGTAATCAGTGGTTAATCGAATTTAATATATTGCATCACATATCAAAACTCATTATTGTATTGACTATAATTCTAAACTGTTGATTTTTTTATATTTTAAATGATTCATTTAGAATTACAAGTTTATTCTTTATTCCAAATATGACTAAACATGATTGAACAGGTGAAAAACTCACCAACCGTGCATTAAAAAAACCAGGCAATATGTTTTTAAATATGTGAGATATATCGGCTGTGAACCGTGTGGCAAATATATCATCCTGATTACGGTCCCCTCCCCCCTAAAAAATACTACTACAATACCATAATCCCCCCCCCCCCCCCCCCCCCCCGTGGTTTGTAAGTTTACAAAGGCAATTTTTAAAAAATGAAATTCGTATAAATAATAGTCAGTGTATTAGTTCGAGGTTGTTGTTTGAATTATAACGAAGCGTTTCATAACATTTAGCATCAAGTCTAATCTGTTTTATATTATATTTATACTGCGTGTAATGAGTGTTTAATTGAATTTAATATATTGCATCATATCACATAACAAAATTCATTATTGTAGGGACTATAATTCTAAACTGTTATTTTTTTTATTTTAAATGATTCATTTAGAATTACAAGTTTATTTTTTATTCCAAATTTGACTAAAAATGATTGAACATTTGAAAAATTCACCAACCGTGCATCGGATGTTCTGCTAGGTATGGGTTAAGCATATATGGGTTGGGTTGTATGGTTCATCGATGCTACAAACCTCTGCTCCAACCCATTTAAATTTTTTGGGTTGTTACCACCATCCTTCTTCTGGGCTGATTTGTTTGGTTGTAAATAAAATGTGTTGATTTTTGGGTTGTATTTCTAAATCAATTGCCGTTTTGATATTGCAAATATTTACTTATTTTTAAAATTTTAGAATTGAAGTAAACTTTTTTGTGTTAAACACATGCACATAGATCTAATTTTTTTTAGTGACATATACGAAGATCTATTAAAAAAGTATTACGATATTTTTTGTGTTAAGACTGTTTTGTCTTATTAATATTTCAAATAATCTTTCTGAAACATTTTTTTTTGAAAATTTTTCTGAAATATATTATGTTTTAAGTATATAAAATCATGTCATGTACAATCGAATATGATTTTTAGAAAAAATCTTTAAGTAATATGGTAGTAAGCAACGCAGATCTGCTAGATCTATAGGTTGTGCTAGATCGATACACTTATATTTAAGCATAGTTTAAGAATGACATAACATATTTTCACATATTTGCATCCCCTGATTTGCCAGTTTACAAAAGCAATTCGTCTAACTAATGCAATTCGTATAGATGTAAAATCACCCTATTACTTAGTCATTATAAATAATTTGCTTCGTCGTAACTAAAATTTGTAAACCTTTGAATATAGAAAAATTATTTGCCAAAATTATATTGGAAGAAAGGAGTTTAACCAGGGTTAGTGCGAGTCAAAAGGTGTTAATTTCTCAAGCATTCATTAACACCTCCACACATTAGCTTGACATTTCAATATATTTTGGATGTAATAATACTCAAACATGATTTATCATTTCATGACTATAAATAAAAGTCAAAAACAATCTCATCAGGTGTTAATTTATTGTTGAAAACTCCTATTTTTAGTCATGGTCAACTTTGTGGCTATTTGTTAACTGGCATTTTCAGCCCATTTATGCAATTATCAGCGTTTGTAGTGTAAAAATCATAACATTTTGGCTCCACACGCTAATATTCAAACAAAGCCTTTATGCGGTTGAGTGAAGAGTAATCATTGGTAAATTTATTTAAAATTTATTACACATGTGCAATTTTACCAACCATGCATCCCATGAGTATTCCACACATTTCCTATAACATGAGACTCTTCAGTAGTACATGTTTTGTGCAGTTATAAACTTATTTTTTAGGAACAAATTCACCAACCGTGCATCGCACGGGTGAGTTACTAGTGTAAACAACAAATTGTTTACAAGGGAACAAAAAGTTATTTTGAATTTTAGCAATGGGAACCGTGCAAGTAATCCTCCGGTTGTGCCTATCCGAATGCGGAGAAGCTCCAACCTTCCAAGTTCCAACGTACGCAAATGATAAACCAGACTGACATTTTTTTCGAACCCACTTCGGCGGGAAACTTAGGTAGGCCGTAGGCTGGCTTAGCTCTCCCTCGTCAGGTCAATATTACATCTTTTCTAGTAAACAGAGTGAAGAGAACTCGAAGAAATATGGAAGAAACCAGAAGCCGAGCAACTGCCGAAGAAGCAGAAGAAGGTCCAGCGATAGGAATCGATCTGGGAACCACATACTCATGTGTCGGAGTTTGGCAGCCTCACCAGGACCGGGTTGAGATCATCTCCAACGATTTAGGCAACCGTACGACGCCGTCAATGGTTGCATTTAACGATGTCCAGCGCCTCATCGGCGAAGCTGCCCAGAACCAGGCCGCGAAGAATCCGTCCAATACCATCTTCGGTTCGTTTTCGAATGAAAGTTGAATGATATACGGAGTATTTGTTTCCTTGGATACGGTTCAAAAGTAATACTTTGTATTTGGTACTTTTCCAATTTGTAGGACTCAGTGGGAAGGTGTAGTCACCTTAAAGGCTTAAACTTTAATGGCCTTTTAGTTGTTACTCCGTAACATATACCGCCAAAGCATAAACACTGGTTAGCAAAATAAAAATTGGTTTTTGAATGATGTCTAAGTACTCAGAAGCTAGAGAATATTATGAAGTAACCTGTACCGATAATGACCAGAATTTTGTGTTGATATTGACAATTTTTCCTGGAGAAGTCTCAGGGGATGAGGGGGACACTTAAGATACAAAACAATTTGTTCCTTAGCGCATATAAATTAAAAGTTTAATGTGAAAATTCAAAGAAAGCCCCATCTTTTTGAAATACTTTTTTGTTAAAGAAGATCAATAGGAACTGACATTTTCAAATGTTGGCCTCCATGACACATGTAAACAGAGGACATGTGCAAGTTTACAACTTTATCATAGTTTTTATGTCACAGTTAGTTGCATGTTTATAATTTTATCATACTTTCTATGTCACTGTTAGAATTTTGGCTAATAATGTGTCACCAAATGCGATAGGCTTTACTAACATGTGTGGGAACTGGCCATGAGTATGATTAAAATATTTAAGTTGCAAAAGATGCAATATACTCGGGGAAAATTCCCAATATAGTACTACAAGTGAAAAACAATGTAAAATTTCAAAATGAAGTAGTATGTTTTCGTCGTAAGTACGAGTAACTTATTGCCATTCCAAAATTTATTGTCTTATTTTGGCATTACTAGGCTTAAATATAGCAATATATTGCAATATCTAGCACTATTTTGCAAGCAGTTATGCATTCTGTTTAGGGAATTAAAACATAACGCTCCTATTTTGTAATTCTACATTGTTTTTACTTCTAATAACGCACTTCCTTTACAATAAATTCGTGACATGCTGATGATAGCAATTACCTTTAAGTCTTTAACATTAGGAATAGTTTCTAGTAATGACTAGATAAAGTATATTGTATACACATGCCGTATCAAGGGTATCATGACCCTTAAATTCTAAGTATATCAAAATCAGCTTGTTAGCCTGTTTGAAATTTACAAATGCAAACTTGGTTTCTTACCCAATACCCACTAAACATCAGTCTTTGATAAATGAGCCTGTATAATTGGTTCTAAATATTTATATAACAATGTCACCATAATCATCAAAGAATGTTCACTTCCTTAAGTTCCTATTTTACATTAGTTTACCCATTAGTTATTTTTTGCTGCCTATTCATTACAGAAGTGAAGAGGCTAATTGGTAGAAGTTTTGTTGATGCAACGGTACAAAATGACGTGAAAAACTGGCCATTTAAAGTGATTGCTGGCCCTGATGGAAAGAAACCCATGATAGCCGTCACTTTCAAGGGCGAAAAGAAGCTATTTGGTGCTGAGGAGATATCTTCAATGATCCTCCATAAGATGAAGACTATTGCAGAGGCTTACCTAGGCAAACAAGTAAAAAATTCTGTCATCACGGTTCCTGCTTACTTCAATGATGTCCAGCGTCAATCAACAAAAGATGCTGGTCTGATTGCTGGACTTAATGTCTTGCGTATTATCAATGAGCCCACGGCTGCTGCATTTGCCTATGGCATTGACAAGAAAAAAATTGGAAGTGCTGATTCCGCTCTAAATAACATCCTGGTTTTTGATCTTGGTGGTGGGACTTTCGATGTATCTATCGTCACAATAGAGAAGGATGCCTGTGAAGTTAAAGCTGTGAATGGGGACACTCACCTGGGGGGAGTCGATTTCAGTAACAGAATGGTGAGCCACTTTGTGGCCGAGTTTAATAGGAAGCACCATAAAGACATTAGTAAAAATCTTAAGGCTCTTGCGCGGCTGAGAGCAGCATGTGAAAGGGCCAAGAGAATCCTGTCTTCAGCTTCAGAAACGTTAATCAATATTGAGTGTCTGTTTGAGGGCATAGACTTCTCTTCGACCATCACCCGTGCACGGTTTGAGAATATGAATGTGGATTTGTTTGAAAATTGTATTGAGACTGTTGAGAAGTGTTTAAAGGATGCCAAAATGAAGAAGCTTGACATTCATGATGTTGTACTTGTTGGTGGGTCCACCCGGATCCCAATGGTTCAAGAATTGCTACAAGATTTCTTCCATGGCAAGCAGCTCTGCAAAAATGTAAATCCGGATGAGGTTGTGGCCTATGGAGCAGCTTTTCATGCTGCAACCCTGACTCGTGCCTGCTTCGGTAAGAATAAGGATGCTGTGCTTAAGGACGTTTGTCCTTTATCTCTTGGTATTGAGGAGGATAACGGTGAAGTGTTTGTTGTGATTCCAAGGAATACCCCCATCCCTACAAAGATGACAATGCGCACAGGAACTGCTATTGACTACCAAAACGCTGTTTGTTTCCCTGTGTACGAGGGAGAGATGTCCATAGCAAAAGAAAACAACTTCTTGGGTGAATTTTTCATTTATGGCATTCCACCAGCATCAAAAGGTAAGGCTTTGTTCAAAGTTGATTTCGAGATTGATGCTGATGGCATATTGACTGTATCTGCAAAATTAGAGGGAAGCAAAAAGAGGAACCAAATCACTATAACCAATCACAGCGGGAGGTTGTCAAAGGAGGATATTGACCGGATGGTTAAGGAGGCAGAGGATTACAAGGCTCAAGAGGAGGAGTACAAGAAGGCAATGGATGCTAAAAATGCTTTGGAGAATCTCATTCACCACACAGGAGGCTGTTTAATGGGGGTTAGGACAAAGGCCTCCAGGATTAGTTTGAAAAGTGCAATTGACAATACAGCGCGATGGTTGGAGTGGAATAACCTGCTTGGTGATGCTCACAAGTTTGAGGAAAAGATGAAAGAGCTTAAGAGCATCTATGAGTCTGCTATTTCCCAGATGCAGCATCAGCAGGGAAGTGACACAATTGTCCAGCCTGAGGTCATTGACTTATCAGACTAGCAGACGCTAATGAACCTTGAAGGTCGAGTTTATTGTGAAACTTTTACACCTTTTGGGATGGCAGTGTGCTGATACAGTTTCCTCTTTTTGATAGTCTAGTGTTGCAATAGCTACCCTATTTCAATGATCATAATAATTTATAAATTAGTCCCTACATACAGAAGTATCGAACCAAGATACGCACCACAATGGCAATGTATATCTTATTGTTTAGTACCGTACTTGAGAATAAATAATGTTGGAAGAAGCAGCTGTGAATATGGGAGTGCTCTGCTGGATCTGGAAACTAACCTCCCTTTTTGTATGGACCAAAGAAAGTAGTCTTTCTTCCATCGATGCTTTAATGTTAACAGTTCATGAAGCTTGGCTTGTTGTACTATAACAATGTATCACTGGGATAAGTTGCAAACCCCAAACAGGGTAAGTTTCCGACTCTCAACGTCATTCTTACTTGCAGTTTAACTTCGTTGTTTCGAACTTTCCATACTTCTACAGGGATGACAAAGGGCGGGTTTGAAGCGGGTTCACTCCCTCATCCTGCCCATGTATCCACTTGTCTAGAAAATTGGTTTTGGGGCATTTGAATGTCAACAAACACCATTTCAAAAAGTGTTGGTTTGTATGCATTTTTCCGTAAAAAAGTGCAGATATTTTTTTGTAGTTTTGCATGCATCCGTGTAGAAGGATGTGTCAGATTGGAACCTCCGGCAGTCCAGCCTCAAGCTTCAAAATATCTCAAACTCTTATACTTCGCATATTTGTTTTCCTAGATCAACGACTTGTTTGTTCATACTTCATATAGTTATTGCTATGGTACCTCACAAATAAATGAGGGTTCCGTGCATATAATACATTTGATCAGTCCAAATTATCATCTCATCATTTATTGATATTTAAATTATGCAATTGTAATATTCTGAATTGTCCATATAAGCAAGGCATTTAGGTAGAGAATAGACAGACTACCACCGCCCGCCCCTTCTCAACCCCATTCACCCTTCTGGTATACGAAGATGTTCATTTAGATTTTATTTATCTTATTAGCTTATTTTTCGATTCATTTAATACGGAGTATATACTAGATAGTATTGGGTAAGATAAAATTAATACCACCAATTCAATAGATATTCAATTTGATTTGAATAAGCTTTGTGAATATAATAAAAGTAAAAACGTAAGCAAGCATAAATAACATAAAAAAAGTAAGTTGAAATTCACAAAAATAATCTCCACTTTTTGGATTCTACAATAATAATCCCTACTGTGAGTATTCATGAAAATAATCTGAACTAGCAATAGTGTCCACAACAATAAATTGAGGTAAATTAAAATTATTTCTCATTTAATTCTCCCAAATCTGACCTCTACTTTCCCCTTCACCACTCTTCTTTTCGGGTAATACTTCTATCTTATATCCTAGAAAGAACCAGATATGACGGAAATGACATTAATATTAAAAGGGTTTTAGTTTTAATTCACTTCGATAAGAAGAGTGGTGAAGAGAAAAGTGAGAGTAGGGATTGATAGTATTAAACATGCATTAATTTGAATTCACCCCAATTTATTCTTGTGGACACTATTGCTAGTTCAGATTATTTTTATAGACATTCTCAGTAGGGTTAATTTTAAAAAAAGTAAGCATAAATAAAAATCAATAGTTTATCTTCTAACTGGAATGACTTTATAAAAATCGATGAGTCAGTTTCTTTGGCATACGATTTTACATTCATTTTAGTCACATACTAGTATAGTACTAATTAATACCACCATGTCTCAATCATTTTACAACGGCTTGCTTGAGTTGCTTCTATTACATTTTGTTATGAAGCAAAAATGTACAACAAGGTAGTATAAGGGAGTGTTTGCAATTGCTTCAACTTTAAAGAAGTGATTTTTTAAAGTGATTTTGGGAAAAGTGATTAATAGTAAAAGTTGGTAGTGTTTGAGGAAAAATTGATTCTGAAAAAGTAAAAGTTGGTAGTGTTTGGTAAAATAAGTACTTTTTGTGTAATAGAAAAAGTGAAAAGCAGTTTAAAGCACCCTTCCACCTGCTTCCAGCTTTTAACTTTTAAGTGATTAATTTAAGCAGAAGCTGTCATTTGAAAACACTCTTTTTAACTTTTTTTAAGCCAAAAGCTGAAAAGCGCTTTTTTTAATCAACCGCAAACACTCCCTAAGTATATAACAATGGATACTCGAGTATAACAATGGATACTCGAGTAGCCGAGTACTCCACCAAATATTTTATGTATTGAATTCTAACTCATACCTATACAAGTATATAACAAGGTATGTAGTATTAAAATTTAAAAACTATTGACAAATCTTGAGCAACTCCAAGCACAGGAACTCGTTACACTATACAAATCTGCATGTGCCCACAACCCAGAACGAACTTGGAATGATGCAACAATTCGATCAAAAGGGACTAAGCTAAGCTAGTAAGCTTCTATCTGGCGTGGCTAGCTAGGGCCTGTGTGCACAAAGCTTGTGCTCGTGGCACGCCTAGAACGGGTTCGAAACAAAATTTTGTTAATTACTGTCCCTAACTAAAAAATATCGGTTGGTTTAGTGATTTATTTATCCATAACAAAGTCCGTGGACCGTAGTAACATTGTTAGGGACATATTCCATAACAAAATGGTGTAACAATACATTATCTTTTGTAGTGGAAGCTCGTATGATGACTGATGATTTATACATGTGGTATTAAGAAATGCCATTTTTAAAATTATACGTGAAGTCTAATTTGGTCAACGGTTGTTGAGTAAGACGGTCGGATTGAATTGAAGTCTAATTGATCTCTGATAGCGGTGCAGGTTTCATTCAATGTAATTACTCCTTGTGCACACCGGAACCTGAACTATGTATGTACATCATTCATAAACTATTTAAGATCAAACCGTGATAACTAATTGTCAAAAAATATTAAAAAACTGTCAGTTGGTACTCGTTCTTTCATCAAAAAATCAATTACGTACTCGTACTTTTTTAAAAAATCAATCAAATCCCCGAACTTTGTAAAAATCTTCAAGTAAGTCTAATTGTAGGTTACTTGCCATGTCAGCAGTCACCCGCTGACGTGGCACACACATGATGGTCCACGTGTGCGCCACGTTCTCGGCAAATGGCTGACTGGGCTTCCACATGTGTGCCACGTCAGCAAAGTCCTTGTTGATTGGGCTGCCACATGTGCATTAGACACCTGCTGACATGACAAGTAACCTGCAAATGGACTCAATTGAACGTTTTTACAAAGTTTGGAGATTTGATTGATTTTTTAAAAGTAAGAGGACCTAATTGATTTTTTCATGAAAGTATGAGGACCAAATTGACAATTTTCCCGAAAATAACTTAAAAGAATATGAATAAAAGTTTTTATATTATAGTATAGTCTTATGCTAACTTAAGGACTTAAGTGTTGATGGACTATTAGTCTAGAAGAAAGAATAATTAGTGAGAGAAAGTAATATGTATAAACGATAATCCCACCAACATGGTTCCCAAGAAGAGTACTTATAGGGGAAATATAGACTGGACTGTGAGGTCCAGTTACATAAAATGGCTCATAAACGGCTAATAAATGATATGAAACATATTTTATTGGATATATATATATATATATATATATATATATATATATATATATATATATATATATATATACAAAAATGCCACCTTGTCTTTATGTCCTTTGGATCAACTCATCGGACGGTCAAGATGAGTTTGTACTTTGTAAATTAAGAAGGCTTTGTATTTGATCTCTATTATATATATATATATATATATATATATATATATATATATATATATATATATATATATATATATATATATATATATATGAAAAAACAAAGTGTACAATAATGTAAATGGAATCTATTGATAGAACATTTGTGGGCCAATGTTCCAGGCTCAATAGTAATGAGAACGGGGTCCGAGTCCACAATTTTAATAAATACATTATTGAATAACTACTTAGAAATTAGTTTGTACAAATTTAGAAGTTATTATTTTTAAAGAACCTTAGTAATTTGTAAATTTGTTAGTACACTAATTGTTTTTTTTTTTTGTAAGGAAATTTTTTATTGAACATAGAAAAAAAATGTTCAATGCAATGAAAAAAATAACAAGCTAGGAATGTATGTTAGTACACTAAATATAGTCTATTTTTAATATCTTTTTCAAATTATACTCAATTACAAATTTATGACTAAAATAAAGATTGTTCATAAAAATGTGACTTGTGACTAGAGTAGTAATGAAATAATAGTAACTTATGTTCAATTTTTAAACTTAGTTACGATGAAACTACATTGTAGTAAGCATTAGTCATATTTGTGTAAATAAGTTTTATTTTAGTAATATTTTTGAAAAAACCTTAGCTCTATATTTAATAATCAAATTTATCACTAATACAAATTTAATAATCACTTAAGTGTCAAAATAATTTTTAAACAATACTCCGATAAAATACTACTAAAATAAAACTTATTTACACAAAATAATTTAATGCATTCTACATTTTATCATTAATAAAATGTGAGGATTGGTATGTGTGTATACGTCATGCTATTGCCGCTCTAAGCTGTATAGGCACACCACACACCGCTTCTTCTCCTTAATCATGTTCTTTTCATTATTGATGAATTTATTTCTCAGATTCACATGAGTTTTAGGCCCATATGAGGTGTTCGATTAAATGTTTATACGAGAAAAAATATTAGTTTTGGGTCTTGAAACACAATAATATTCCTTTTAAATTCCTTTGAAAAAATTAATGCAGATTGCAATTAATTTATCTCCTAAAGTGCATTTTGAAGTTCTTCTACAAATCTAAACAATGGTCTCTTTTTAACAACTTTTTGATGGCTTATTATGTGTTCATATATAGTAAATCTTTCTTTTTGGAACAGAGGCCTTCTTACAAAAAAATATTAGAATTATAGTGGAGTATATATTTTTATTAATGTGATTTTCCAAAAGTTATTTTAACTTGAAATGATTGCATGCAAAGTTTAGGGAATAATCACTTTGCATGTAAAATATATTACAATGTTTGGCTAGATGTGTAATTTATTTTTGATTTGCACGCAAAGACATTGCAATGTTTTATAAAAAGCTTGCAAAATATTTAAAATATTTTACCACCATTCCCCCACGTAATTACATGCTACAATGTGATTTTTTTTTAAAAAAGTGTCATATAGTTTACATTAAATAATCAAACCAAACTATGTAAACATGTAACTTCCTTTATTTCGCATGCGAGTGATTATTGTATATGCTACCAAACACACTATGGAAGTAAACATTTATATAATCTCACTGTGAATGCAACTAATTTGGTGCATTTTCGTTTTATCGATAATAAAATGTGAGAATTGGTATGTGTGTATACAACATGCTTACTTTGGGTGTTTGATCAGTT